AAAGCTCCAGATTCAAAACTTTCGTGGCCAATAGGGTGTCAGCCATCCTACAGCACTCTCAAGCTTCGCAGTGGAGATACGTCAATACCAGCTTGAATCCGGCGGATCATGTGTCCCAAGGCCTGACGGTGGAAGCATTCTTGAAATGTGAAAGCTGGCTTTCTGGACCTGAATTCCTGTGCTGTGAGGAAGACCAGTGGCCAAAGAATCCGGATCCTGGAATGATCAACGTGGATGACCCAGAGGTCAAAAAGGTTCAATCTCATGCCATGCAAGTACAAAACCTCAAAGACCCCCTGGACCAGCTGATGTTGTACTACTAATCCTGGGCGAAGCTGAAGCGCGCTGTAGCCTGGTACATGAAATTGAAAGATCTGCTGAAAGAACTGAATGCAAATAAAAGCAGGGAACCAAGTTTGTCAAGCAAGGAAAGAATGGATAGATTCAAGAAAGATTACAAAGCACCAAAACTTACCTGTGAAGACTTGATGAAAGCAGAGACAGAAATTGTGAAATACGCACAAAAGAAAGGATTCCCAGAAGATCTGGAAATGCTAAAAGAACAACAAAGAGTGAAGAAAATTAGTTCGCTTCGTAAGCTGAACCCAGTTCTACAAGACGGACTCATAAGAGTAGGAGGTAGGCTGAGCCGTGCTGCACTGCCAGACGACTGCAAGCAGCAGGTTATCTTGCCGAAGGACTCGCATGTCACAGGGCTCCTTATTAGACACATTCATGATGTAACAGCACATGCAGGAAGGAATCACATGCTGTCTCAGTTGCAGCAAAGATTCTGGATCCCTGGGGCAAATGGAGCCATCAGGAGGCTGTTGTCCAAGTGTGTAACCTGCAAGAAGCTGCATGGAACAGCTGGAAGCCAACTCATGGCAGATTTACCCACATGCAGAGTCCTGCCTGATGAGCCTCCATTCACGCGGGTTGGCGTCGACTACTTTGGCCCATTCCTGGTGAAAAGAGGAAGAGGACATGTAAAAAGACACGGTGTCATCTTTACTTGTCTCGCAGTTCGTGCGGTGCACTTGGAAGTTGCATCCTTGCTTGACACTGATGCATGTCTGAATGCAATTAGGAGATTCTTAGCAAGAAGAGGACAAGTAAGAGAGATGTATTCAGACAACGGCACAAACTTCAGAGCAGCTGAAAGCGAGATGAGGAAAATGATTCGTGAGTGGAACACAAGCAAGATCGAAAAACACCTACAACAGAAAGGTGTTCAGTGGCACTTCAACCCTCCGACAGGTTCCCACCACGGAGGAACCTGGGAGCGGCTCATCCGCTCTGTGAGAAAGATTCTGAATACCACAGTGAAAGAGCAGATGATGGATGAGGAAAGCCTCCACACCCTGTTGTGTGAAGCGGAGGCCATCATAAACAGTAGGCCCATAACCAAGGCGTCTTCTGACATCAATGATTTAGAGGCCTTAACCCCTAATCACCTTCTGCTACTGAAAGTCAAGCCCGAGCTGCCTCCTGGAGTGTTCAGCAAGGATGATCAGTACACAAACCGAAGATGGAGACAGGTCCAGTACCTCACAGACATATTCTGGAAGCGATGGTGCAGGGAGTACCTCATGCAACTACAAGAGCGCCAGCGATGGTTAGCCCAAAAGAGAAACTTCAGTGTCGGCGACGTGGTGCTGGTTATCGACGACACATCGCCCAGAAACTCCTGGCCACTTGGAAGGATCACAGAGGCTCTTCCAGACCGGAAAGGTTTCATTCGACAGGTGAAGGTCAAGACCCGGACCAACGAGCTGTTGCGACCAGTAACCAAGCTGGTTCTGCTGCAAGAGTCAGAAACTGATTGATGGACTTTCATATATCCTTTTCATTGCTGAATATGTGATAAAGTTATGCACTCTGGTTTAGTTGTTGTTTAGCTTAAGAATTAAAAGTAAAGTAATTTACATAATTGTAGTGTTAGGCTCCTTGTGATTTAAGTTTTGAGTAATTGTTTCAGGGCATCGATAACAATTAGGGGCCGGAAATGTAGGAGCCTAAATGCAGTTTATTTGAGTTAGAATATTTATTTTCTATTTTATTTAAAAATATGCGAAATCATAAGTAAGATAAATATTGTTTTTGATTTAATGATTCTAAGGGATTTAAAAGGATTAAAAAATGCAATTTTTATATGTTCAGTTAATTGATATTGTGAGAAAGATATGACTTTTATTGTGACATTTAAAAACCCACAAAGGGGAGTGGTTTATCTTCATGCCAGGTGAGGAATGCAGTGGGAATCAGATGGAGATTGGAGCGCAATAGTTTTTTGACCTCACCCTTCCCAGGCTCCGTTGGACTTTAAAAGGACTTAATTTCATGGATGTATTTTATGTTTTCTGTAATGTTGCGTTAAGTTTTCAAGTAAACCGTTGAAGTCAAGAAGTGGACTCGTGGATTTATTTTTTGGATACAAGGGAGTCTGATGAGCGTCAAGCTAAAGCTTCAATAAGGACAGTAAGAAACTACAAAAGCTTTCCAGTAGTGTGTATGAAAGCTTTCTAGTAGTGTGTATGAAAGCTTTCTAGTAGTGTGTATGAAAGCTTTCCAGTAGTGTGTATGAAAGCTTTCCAGTAGTGAGTATGAAAGCTTCCTAGTAGTGTGTATGAACGCTTTCTAGTAGTGTGTATGAAAGCTTTCTAGTAGTGTGTATGAAAGCTTTCCAGTAGTGTATATGAAAGCTTTCTAGTAGTGAGTATGAAAGCTTTCCAGTAGTGTGTATGAAAGCTTTCTAGTAGTGTGTATGAAAGCTTTCCAGTAGTGAGTATGAAAGCTTCCTAGTAGTGTGTATGAACGCTTTCTAGTAGTGTGTATGAAAGCTTTCTATTAGTGTGTATGAAAGCTTTCCAGTAGTGTGTATGAAAGCTTTCTAGTAGTGTGTATGAAAGCTTTCTAGTAGTGTAAATAAAAGGTTTTTAGTAGTGTATATGAAAGCTTTTTAGTAGTATGTATGAAAGCTTTCTAGTAGTGTGAATGAAAGCTTTCTAATAGTGTATATAAAAGCTTTTTAGTAGTGTATATGAAAGCTTTCTAGTAGTGTGAATGAAAGCTTTCCAGTAGTGTATATAAAAGCTTTCTAGTAGTGTATATGAAAGCTTTTTAGTAGTGTGTATGAAAGCTTTCTAGTAGTGTGTATGAAAGCTTTCTAGTAGTGTGTATGAAAGCTTTCCAGTAGTGTATATAAAAGCTTTTTAGTAGTGTATATGAAAGCTTTTTAGTAGTGTGTATGAAAGCTTTTTAGTAGTGTATATGAAAGCTTTCTAGTAGTGTGTATGAAAGCTTTCTAGTAGTGTATATGAAAGCTTTCTAGTAGTGTGTATGAAAGATTTCTAGTAGTGTATATGAAAGCTTTCTAGTAGTGTGTATGAAAGCTTTCTAGTAGTGTATATGAAAGCTTTCTAGTAGTGTGTATGAAAGCTTTCTAGTAGTGTGTATGAAAGCTTTCTAGTAGTGTATATGAAAGCTTTCTAGTAGTGTGTATGAAAGCTTTCTAGTAGTGTATATGAAAGCTTTCTAGTAGTGTGTATGAAAGCTTTCTAGTAGTGTATATGAAAGCTTTTTAGTAGTGTATATGAAAGCTTTTTAGTAGTGTATATGAAAGCTTTCTAGTAGTGTATATGAAAGCTTTCTAGTAGTGTATATGAAAGCTTTCTAGTAGTGTATATGAAAGCTTTCTAGTAGTGTATATGAAAGCTTTCTAGTAGTGTATATGAAAGCTTTCTAGTAGTGTATATGAAAGCTTTTTAGTAGTGTATATGAAAGCTTTTTAGTAGTGTATATGAAAGCTTTTTAGTAGTGTATATGAAAGCTTTCTAGTAGTGTATATGAAAGCTTTCTAGTAGTGTATATGAAAGCTTTCTAGTAGTGTATATGAAAGCTTTCTAGTAGTGTATATGAAAGCTTTCTAGTAGTGTATATGAAAGCTTTTTAGTAGTGTATATGAAAGCTTTTTAGTAGTGTATATGAAAGCTTTTTAGTAGTGTATATGAAAGCTTTCTAGTAGTGTGTATGAAAGCTTTCTAGTAGTGTATATGAAAGCTTTCTAGTAGTGTATATGAAAGCTTTCTAGTAGTGTATATGAAAGCTTTCTAGTAGTGTATATGAAAGCTTTCTAGTAGTGTATATGAAAGCTTTCTAGTAGTGTATATGAAAGCTTTCTAGTAGTGTATATGAAAGCTTTCTAGTAGTGTATATGAAAGCTTTCTAGTAGTGTATATGAAAGCTTTCTAGTAGTGTATATGAAAGCTTTCTAGTAGTGTATATGAAAGCTTTCTAGTAGTGTATATGAAAGCTTTCTAGTAGTGTATATGAAAGCTTTTTAGTAGTGTATATAAAAGCTTTCTAGTAGTGTGTATGAAAGCTTTCTAGTAGTGTATATGAAAGATTTCTAGTAGTGTATATGAAAGCTTTCTAGTAGTGTATATGAAAGCTTTCTAGTAGTGTATATGAAAGCTTTTTAGTAGTGTATATGAAAGCTTTCTAGTAGTGTATATGAAAGCTTTCTAGTAGTGTATATGAAAGCTTTCTAGTAGTGTATATGAAAGCTTTCTAGTAGTGTATATGAAAGCTTTTTAGTAGTGTATATGAAAGCTTTTTAGTAGTGTATATGAAAGCTTTCTAGTAGTGTATATGAAAGCTTTCTAGTAGTGTATATGAAAGCTTTTTAGTAGTGTGTATGAAAGGTAAAGCTTTTCACCAGTTTTTATGAACAGTTCTCAGTACTTCGTATGAGAGCTTTTGAGTAGGTTATATGAGAGGTAAATGTTTTCACTAGTTTATGTGAAAGCTTTTCACTAGTGTTTATGCACGTTTTTCAGTATGTTATATGAAAGAGTTCAATGCAATATGTGTATATGCAAGTTAAGTCTGATTTATGTCCCTGGGGGCACCTCATACTCTATATCCCATTTCTTACAAACTCAGTTCAATTTAGACAAAACGAAATGAACCGAACAACAGGAAAGGTTGCAGCTCACCCCGAGCACAGACAGAGACGTCCTCTGGGTTGCCCTCAGCTTCTGGGACACGGAGCAGCACACCGGGCTGTAGCACAGACTCTTCAGGATCTGACACAGAGGAGGCCAGGGGCTATCAGGGTCAGAGGTCAGGGTGAACACAGTCACCCCGTCGGTCTTGCTCATGGTCACAGACATCTTTTCTGCTCCTGGAAACTATAGATGGCACAAACATTTTAGATAAGCATCATCATTTAAAACATGTTGAATTACATACAGTAAGTAACCGTTTTTGATCGCTTGCATATCTCTTACAAATGGAGCCCCTCCCATCCCTCAGTGAGGTCTAGAAGCACAAGATCTATATCCAGCCATTAAGCAAAGATCCTGCAACATGACTGTGCATCTTATTTTGGCATTTGACCAATTAGATGAGCCCTTGAATGATAGATTACCTACTGGAAATTAAGTCAAGACTTAAGTCAAGAAAAAAGGTAAAAAGCTAATTGAAAAGTTAAAGGAAAAGCTAAAAAGATAATAAGTCTAGTTAACAATTATATTTAGGTTTATAAACTAAAAAACTGTAAGTGGCAGTATCAACATTAATGTCTCTAAGGTAATGCTGGATCATTAAAAATGTTTTTTTTTTTCCATTCTCAGAGTGTTTTGAATGAATTTCTTATAGAAGCTATTTTTTTATTTTTCGGGCAAGTTGGCGTTTCTTGTTATTACAGTGACATTAATTTTTGCCATCAAAATATCCATATATTTTTAATGTGTAGTGGGTAAAAAAGTATTCAACCGTTCATCCCAGTTAAATAAAGAGAGATCGATGGATTTCACTCATCAGAACTTTATTTTCATATCTTCGCAAAGAGAGAACAGTCAACATTCATCCCTTACTGCTCTGTATTCAGGCAATGTTCTGATCTGGGCAGCGTTCGTTTCCCCTTACTTACAGTAATGGAAAGTAGTCAGAGTCAAAACAAATTACAGACACTTTGGTTAAACATGTTATAAATAAACCTTGAGAAACAATCTGGTTTGTTATGGAAAGAAGGTATGCTTGGTCTACTAACACCCTCATGCAGTGCGGCCTTGCAGGTGAAACAGACGGAGTGAAACCTTTTATAGTGAGTAAATAGGATAAATTAATATATGAAATAAGAGAAATCTAAATTTTCTGACCACAAATGTTACAAAGGTAATAAGGTCTTGTCCTGGATTCCAATAACACTATTGGCTTGAAATTCTGATCAATGGGGGTGGTGTGGTCAGGGTGCGGGGTGGGGGGCCGGGATCGAAGCAGGAACGAGATGAACCCAATGAGCAGAAGTTGACTCTCTAGGACACGCCCCCTCCTCATTTGCATAATGAGGCAGAAATGTAAAAAAGGGCAGGCAGAAATAAATAACGGCGAAGAAATAACTAGGTCAAAAAAATATGAATAAAACAGACAGAAATATTATAACATGCACATAAATACATGCTTAAAAATATAATAAATTAAAAAATAAAGTTGAAGATTATAAAGGACGAAATAATAAATAAGGTAAATATTGCAAAGGCAAATAAAGAAGCTAATTAAAAGAGTTATATACATTTATGTCTCACTGTATAATTTAATTTCTACTAACATTTATTTGTTTAATGTATTTTTGGTGGCAATTAATTGTATGCTTATTTATTTATTTCTGTATTTATTTTTAAATATGGCAGAGTTGGTCCTCCATAGATTCCATCCGCTGATATCAGCAAAGAAAAATGATAAATACTCGCTAGGTTATGGAAAACTGTTTGGTGACTGAATTATATTTCTGTCAGGTTTAAAGGAATAGTACATCCAAAACATGATTAGCCTTCATTTTCTACTCACCCCCATGCTGAACAACACTCTGGAGTACTTTTTTGATATCTCAAATGCATCTGGAGATCTGGGAGGCTTCTTGCTGTCTGCTGACATTCAAATAATGGAGGTCTATGGTGCCCGAGGCAGAAAGGTCCATAAAAGTCCACAAAAAACGTGTCAATATTCCTCCATACTGCTCGTCCAATGTATTCCAAGTGTCCTGAGTGGGTAGCGTCCATAATTTACTCGAAACGAAGTCATTCAGAATGTTTTTAGAGCATAAACAGTAGTGTATAGGATTTCCTAAAAGCGCGCGCCTGCGAGTTCACCAGTCTACGGAAACCGCGGCAGACCAAACCAGATGAAAGTGCGCATTTAGCTCGGCAAAGAACTCATGCTCTTCCTCAACACTGAAGTCCTCGGACATTTTTCTTTCGTTTTCTTTCTTTGCACAGGTAAACAGCACATTTCTTCTTCTACGCTTGCATTATCAAGAGCAGACGCTGAATGCGCACTTTCATCTGGCTTGGTCTGCCGCGGTTTCTGTAGGCTCGTGAACTCGCAGGCGCGCGCTTTTAGGAAATCCTATACACTACTGTTTATGCTCTAAAAACATTCTAAATGACTTTGTTTCCAGTAAATTATGGACGCTACCCACTCAGGACACTTGGAATACATTGGACGAGCAGTATGGAGGAATATTGACACGTTTTTTGTGGACTTTTATGGACCTTTCTGCCTCGGGTGCCATAGACCTCCATTATTTGAATGTCAGCAGACAGCAAGAAGCCTCCCAGATCTCCAGATGCATTTGAGATATCAAAAAAGTACTCCAGAGTGTTGTTCAGCATGGGGGTGAGTAGAAAATGAAGGCTAATCATGTTTTGGATGTACTATTCCTTTAAGTGGCAGAAGTTGCTTTAAAAAAACAACACAAACCAGCTTTAAATGACCTCGTTTATTTTTTTATTTTATTTTACAATTTTGTTAACAGCAGCAGCTGGATGTTACAACAGTGACATGATTATAGGAGTTATTTATTTTTTGTTGTTGCGAGAAATCGATCAGAAGCGCCGTTAAAATGTCTGGCTTCAATGCGCGCTCCCGACACACGGGGAACAGAATTTCATACAACACCGGGAAAAAGATGGCGTGGAAGTCAGAGCTTCACATACCTGGGACATCAACAGCTAGAGTGACAACTTCTTCTTCTGCGCGGTAATGCTAATGGTTGGTTCCTGATAAGATCTGCTCGGGCCCCGCCCCTTCATGACGTCAATATATGGCAACTCCACTCGAACAAACTGTATAGCGCTTATATTTTTGCTAATATTTTTCATTTCATCGGTCATCTAACGTAGCCGAAAGTAGAAAACAATCATTTTATTCTGCAGTTTTAAACTAGAACAGATTAAAGACGGTTTAGTTTCCGATTTTAATCGTTTCCAGAACCAAAACTAAACGTCTGCCTCCTGTTTCAACCTTTTTCCAAAAACAAAACTAAAACAATCAGCAGCGGTTTTTCATGGTAGTAAATAACCCCTCCTGTTAAACTAAAGTTAATCTACTAAAATCACTCACCTGTTTGGACCGAAGATTATTCTAATCTACACAAATCACGGAGGACGAAAGTGTTTCCAACCCAGTTCCTGTTTGGAGCAAAGTTCCGTTTTCTTTTTTTTTTTTTTTTGTCCATGCGCTTTCCTTTTTTCCCCTAAACTTTATTTAATAACTGTAAATATATATATATATATATATATATATATATATATATATATATATTCATGTGCATAACGGAGCCATAGTTAGGTATTTAAACACCAAACTTAAACACAATTAAATAATTTAATAAATAAATAATAAAGAAAAGAAGAAAAAAAAATCGGCTAATTCTAACGAACAAATAAAAAAAAAGCAAAACGTTTTAATACAGGTGAAAGTTCATTTTAAGATTACTGCATAGTTGGGGGTAATTCCATTAACTATTCACACATGTCTTTTTATTTCTCATCAGAGATTAGAAATATATGTCAAATTCAGTTAGAATTATGTTAAAAACAGGGTGGGTGGGGGAGGGGGGGATCAATTTTTTTATTTTCTTTTTTATTATATACAAAATGTTTTCATATAGAAATAGATTCTGGAGGTGTAATTTTGTGGGTTTGGTCTATCTTTCCATGTTAATCCAAAATGAAATGTTTTTTTGCTATAGTTAAAAAAAGGGTCTATTGTTTCTATATAATTTGTGCAATGAAAATAAATGAGCATTTATTGTCCTCAACATCATACCTGCAGCTTAGTGATTCTTTAAAGGGGTTAGAAACATTCGCAGGGTAACTTTAATGTAAGATTTTTAAGTGTTTCTTTGACTTTTATTTGTGAATTTATTTAATTTATTTTCTGTAGGACTGAAAGGTGAACTACAAGGATAGTCAGAGGCATTTTTTTTTAGCTACAGTGTGATTTTTTTTTTAGCAACATCTAACAGTCAGACTGTAGTGACATAAATCGCCCCCCAGCCCCTATTCAATTTTCAATTTTCAATTCAGTTTATTTATATAGCGCCAAATTCACAACACATGTCATCTCAAGGCACTTTACAGTTCAACCAGATCATACAGTCAAATTGATACAAAGTTTTCTATCTAAGGAATACCAGTTGATTGCATCGACTCATTGACTCAAATACAATCCCTCACACTAAGCATGCTTGTAGCGACAGTGGAGAGGAAAAACTCCCTTTTAACAGGAAGAAACCTCCAGCAGAACCAGGCTCAGTGTGAGCGGCCATCTGCTGAGGCCGACTGGGGTTCAAGGAGACAGAAGCAGAGATACAAAAAGCAGCTGTAAAAGGCGGCCCCGTCCAGGAAACACACAGCCAGGCAGACGAGCTCCAAGGCAGATCCCATGCCAGAGGACGAAGAGAGCACATCCACTCAGTCACGGTCAGAGAAACAGGACCACACTGGAAAACAGGCCGATCTCCAACATCTATAAACAAGGGTGTTGATGGAAGCAGCACAGCTGATGTTTCTTTCCAGGATGACGTCACAGCCAAACAGGAACAGACGAGGCAAAGCTACTCTGAGGAAAAGCAGAGAGAGCAGAAGGTTAGAGATTGAACTAACAGATTCTGCAGAATAGGAGAACAGAGAGAGAATGAAGCAGAATGATGAAATGGGGGTCCCTATGTCCTCCAGCAGTCTAAGCCTATAGCAGCAGAACTATAGAGATAGCTCAGGATAACCTGAGCCACTCTAACTAGAAGCTTTATCAAAAAGGAAAGTTTTAAGCCTAGCCTTAAAAGTAGACAGGGTGTCTGCCTCACGGACTAAAACTGGTAGTTGGTTCCACAGGAGAGGAGCCTGATAACTAAAAGATCTGCCTCCCATTCTACTTTTAGAAACTCTAGGAACCACTAGTAAACCTGCAGATTGAGAGCGAATTGCTCCGTTAGGAACATAAGGAACAATCAGATCTCTGATATAAGATGGAGCTTGGCCCCTAGAAACAAGCTTTTTCAAATCTAGTAACTTGCACTAAATTTCTAAATTTATCTCTATTCTCCCACTCTGCAGAATGTATAAATATAAGGCTTTAGAAAATGTAGGCTGTCTTCACTGATTTTATGTTCATTGATTTACCTGTTAACCCTGTAATGCCAAATGTATCATATTTGATACATACGTTTTCTGAAATGTTTTGCATCCGACACCTTTTGCATAATTTAATGGTAAAAACTCAAATTCCAATTGTACACAATCAGATATACCTGATAACAGAGGGCAAAAGACTACACAAAATATAATCTTGACTTATCGCATAGTAATAAATTATTAATATCAAAAATTGATTTCAGTTTTTTCTTTTTACATATTTTGTTAAAAGGCCAAATAAGGGCTTCAAACCAAAAAAAAGTAATTTTCTGTTTTCTTTTATTCTTGGATCGGGCTTTAAAGGGTTAAAACAGCTAGATTGGTTCTGGTGCCTTTCAGTTTTCAGCCACCTGCCTCAGTGCACATTGGTCCCTGCCAGGTCACCTCTGTAAACACTTCCTGGCTCTGCCGCCTGTGGCGCCACAAGGGCGTCACCCTCTGCAATGCCCTGGCCACCCCACTGCCCCCCCAATCGCCAGTGTAAATTGTAGTAGCATCAGTTTAGCATTTCATGCCATTATGAACAGCCAGCGACAAAACATTAAATATCACACAATAAACCAAGAAATGACCAGGTGTTTACTTTAGTCTATATGATTTAGGTTTACCACAACAGCAGATTTAAACCCTGAAATTATGGCTTTTAGTTTCAGTGGCCACCCCAAGATTTTTAGTGGCCCCATCTGCCACTGGCAGTCGTGCTAAAAAAAAAAAATAGAGAGGTATAAAAATGGTATATTTCATGTCCCAATCATCTCCTGAACCTGTTCCATGAAATATTGATGTTATCTGTAATTCTGCTGATCTGTTGATAAAAAAATTTGCAAAAGTTTACTCATTTAGATCATTTCATTAAACAAAATCAACATAGAAATGTAGGCATCTGTTTTGGATTTGCGGGGATGAAATATTTTCAAAGGTTTTCCTTTTAGATATTTACAGACAAATGCTGCTATAAACCATTATAAATGAGGACCAGAAAGAGCTGTAGGTAACATTAAATTTGATTTATTTAAGGCTGCCAATAGAACAACTATTCTCATCCGGCAGGAGAAAGACCCACATTTGAGTTATTCAAAAAAAAAAAAAAAAAAATCCACTGGATTTGTTTCCAAGTTTGAAGACGTTTCAAAAAGGACTACTAAAACCTTAAACTCAACGCTATTCCTGACATTTTGAATTGAAAAAGCTTCCTGGATCGGAAGCAAAACACTTCAAACGTGAAAAGAAAGACCCGTGGATTGTTTTTAATTTTCTTTTTTTGGAATGACTATGACCTGGATGACTGATCTTTACTGGCATAAACCACATTTTAGATCCGTGTTGTTTTTCTGCTCCGCTGAATAAAAACGGCTCAATATTTGGATTTGATACGATATCAGTATTTACTTTCCTTACATGAGGAAATTCCTGCTCTGACTCACTGTTCTCAATAAATACCAGACTTCTCAACATGCAAATATTAAAAATAAAGGCATTCAAACTTTGATGAAGAACAGATCTGCTGGATGCTTTTCAGGTTCAGAGCTTTTAAAGCCCCAATATGTGATGATCAAAGCTCAAGTGTTGGAGTTAGGTAGTGAAAACTAAGGTCAAATGTCATTTAAAGGTTAATTTGTTACACTCCAATGTACATACAGGAAATACAATCACAGGGAATTCTGTATCTGTTGGTCATCGGTGGGAACTATGCTCTTAATTTGAAGTTATAGTGACAGGAAGTCCAATGTTTGTTTCTGCTGCCTGAGGAACATATTTGATAAATCAAACTGGTGGATTAGTACAGAAGAGGATTAGGGCCACTGAAAAAAATTCTGACTTTTTTCTCAGAATTCTGACTTTAATCTCAGAATTCTGACTTTTTAATTTTCAGAATTCGGTCAGAATTCTGTGAAAAAAGTCAGAATTTTTACTTTTTTTCCCATACTAAACTGAAATAAAATAAAAAAAATCAGTTAACTTTTTTTTTTTTTCAGTGGCCCTAATCCTCTTCCGTAGATTAGAGCTGGAGACGCTCATCAGGTAAATTCACAGCATTAAAAAATGCTTTTATAAAGATTATTATTTTTTTTAAGTTTTAGATCTGTGAGTCCTATAAAGAGCGACATGTTTTCATGTTTTATAATATAAAGGTGGAAAAAACAGGTAGAATCTTTATTAGGTGTATTTCACTGTGTATAACATTTTACTGTTGTTTTTTTTTTAAATTAATTCTAGACTTTTTTTCCTCTTTGCCATGAAAAATAAAAGCTTAAATCTGAAAAATTGCAAAAGCTATAAAAAGTGGTAAAAAGTTTTCAATCACCTGATCAGTTACTATTACAACATCTTTTTGAGCGAGAATTTAAAAAAAAAATGCATTTTCTTTTTTTTTCTAAATAAAGTCAATTTTCACCAAGCAGCAAGTGCTGCACATTGACCTAAAAATGATCTAATATATTTCAAACCGAGCCAATAATAGAGTCAAAATTTAGACTTAGAGAAGTTTTGTCGTTTTGTGTACACAGAGTGTAAATTTCATTTTGTACAACTCTCGTGACTTTTCCATTTCTTAAAGTGCAGCAGTGATCATGATGTAAAGAGTGTGGGAGAAAAACAAATGGTGCACAAAAACACACCGATACAGACTTTACAGTGTTGCTTATTTTATACTAAATGAAAGTCCAAGAAATGAGTTCATCAGCACATGCAGCCAGATGTTTACCTGCGTTCTCTCATTCTGTCTGGTGTTTCTCCAGGATCTCCCAGATTTTGGGCTGTTTAAACAAGATCTTATGACCCTTGCTGGAGCCTGAGATCATCTCAGCTGGGGGGCCATCTCCCATAATCCTTCCTCACAAAAATCAGTGTCGAACTTTAGAAGACTGGTTATTTATTCACAGAACTGCTGCATCTAGAAACTCCTGCTTGATGACATTTGGTTGGATTCTTCTTATCATCTGATTGTAAATGAATAATTAAACACCCGGGTACCAAATGATGCTGATCTAAGGTCTACAAAACCAAGACAAGATGCAGCAGAAATAAAAAATGAATGAGACAACTGGTAAATT